GTACTACTTTGTACTACAAAGCTTGCACAAACCACTTCCCAGTACTACTTTGTACTACAAAGCTTGCGCAAAGCACTCCCCAGTACTACTTTGTACTGCAAAAGTTGCGCAGAGCAACTCCCAGTACTACTTTGTACTACAAAGCTTGCACGAAGCACTCCCCAGTACTACTTTGCACTACAAAAATTGCACAAAACAACTCCTTGTACTACAAAGCTTGCACAAACTACTCCCCAGTACTACTTTGTACTACAAAGCTTGCACAAAGCAGTCCCCAGTACTACTTTGTACCACAAGAGTTGCACAAAACACTTCCCAGTACTACTTTGTACTACAAAGCTTGCACAAAGCACTCCCCAGTACTACTTTGTACTACAAGGCATGCACAAAACACTTCCCAGTACTACTTTGTACTACAAAGCTTGCACAAAGCACTGCGCAGTACTACTTTGTACTACAAAAGTTGCACAAAGGACCAGCAGTACTACTTTGTACTACAAAGCTTGCACTTTAAGTGGCATACGCCACTCGGAACGCGAAGGCTACACAGTCAGCACGCCACTCGAAGTGGCACACGCCACTCGAAGTGGCACACGCCACTCGAAGTGGCATACGCCACTCGAAGTGGCATACGCCACTCGAAGTGGCATACGCCACTCGAAGTGGCATACGCCACTTGAAGTGGCATACGCCACTCGAAGTGGCACGCCACTTGAAGTGGCATGAAGTGGCATGAAGTGGCAAAATCAAAATCCACCACATTTGCTCGTTCTCTGTATTTCTGTTCTTTTCGGATCAAGAAACCACATTTTGTTACATGGTGAAACCTCCGTAAATACCAGTGTTTTTGCTAGGTGCTGGCCAAAAAAACGCTGTAAATACCGTGCTTTTTGCTACCAGAGGCAAAAAAACATCGTAAATACCGTGGTTTTGGGCTTCCAACCCGCCAAAAACATTGCTATTTACTGTACGGTGTTTTTTGCTCTGAGAGTTGCAAAAACACGCGGAAACACCATCTATTTGACGATTTTCGGCCACTACGGAACCGGGCAAAAAAGCTGGAGGGGTAACACCAACACTAACACTAACACCAACACCAACAACAACAACAACAACAACAACAACAACAACAACAACAACAACAACAACAACACCACCAGCAGCAGCAGCAGCAACAGCAACAGCAACAGCAACAGCAACAACAACAAACAACAAACAACAAACAACATACAACATACAACATACAACATACAACAAACACCAAACACCAAACACCAAACACCAAACACCAAACAACAAACAACAAACAACAAACAACAAACAACAAACAACAAACAACAAACAACAACAAACAACAGACAATAAACAACAAACAACAAACAACAAACAACAAACAACAAACAACCACAATCACAACCACAACCACAACCACAACCACCACCACCACAACCACATCCACAACCACAACCACAACCACAATCACAATCACAACCACAAGAACAACAACAAGAACAAGAACAAGAACAACAACCACCACCACAACAACAACCACAACAACAACAACCACAACAACAACAACCACAACCACAACCACAACAACAACCACAACCACAATCACAACCACAAGAACAACACCAACACCAACAACCACAACCACGACAACGACAACGACAACGACAACAACAACAACAACAGCAACAGCAACAACAACAACAACAACACGATCAACACCAACACCAACACTTCATGTTTTTTTCCCTTGCCCTCTCCCCCTCGTTTTTTCTTCGGTTCCTTTCTTGCTCACCTACCTTTCGTGTTCCCCCTCTCAAGTCTCAGATGTGTCGGATTCGAATTTGTCCACGTGCATGGGCGAGGTCATCGACATGTACCATTGCTAGAAATACAGATAATCGCATATAATCGCGAGACTTACGCATGAACACTTGTAACTAAGACGTGCAACTACGCCGGTACAGAACTTCCTGATATTTCAGTAGGTAGTTGGCAGCACTTGGCAATGTCATGTCTACTGAAACGTTTCTGTTTGATAGAGCCTGTTCAACTGTCACTTTCATTTGCTCATTCACACTGCACAGCACGAGGCCCCTTGCTACCACAGACGTTTGAAGACTGGCTAGATCCTTAGCAGCCTTTGTAGTGCATCCAGTGTATTGATTCAACGATTGCATCATCGAGTCATCTGACTGAACATCAAAATCATCCCGATGTGGGTGAAAGGATGTGAAAGGCATCTCTTCACTGCCCATAGTTGCCCAGATTTCCCAGTCTTACACAAATGTTTGCAGTCTTCGTGCGCTGCACAGCAACATTTTGGTCAACAGGTTCCGACCACTTGTTGAGTGGGTGGGGGGTGAGGGTATGGGGGGGGGTGTAATAACGTTCTTTTGTTTTGCATTGCATGTAGACGTGACGTCAGTTTATCCATGAGAATGAAAGTTTGTGTCTTCGTATCTGCAGCCGTTTGTAGTATTTTGATGTATCTTGATGTATTTTGTAGTACCAGTTTTTGCTGGTATTTGCAATGTTTTCAGCGGTTTCATTTCTTCGACCACGGCCGCAGATACAAAGACACAAACTTCCATTCTCATGGATCTCAGAAAAACGATTATTAACTGTAGGCAAAACCTGCGCAGCAAACCCAACATGTTGCTGTTTGCAAAAGCTACTTGCGAAAATCTTCTGAACAGTGTTTAACTGTTTGTCTGTGTTTGTCTTCCTGCTGGTACCATTTTCGTCCACTGACATGGTCCAATCGAGTGGAGAGGCGTACTGTAGCGGATTTGATCAGGTGCAATCTGTCTGACCATCGTCCTTTGGCTGGCAGAACTACGTTGGAAAAGTGCAGAGGCAGAATAAGGCAGGTGGCCAGGGATATCAAGGATCCTCGTGAAGTCAGAAGCTGCCACCAGCTGATTGGCTACAGAGAATTATATGTGCATGAACCATGAATCCGTAATATCAAATTGCCATTTTATCCTTTTCTTCGCCGTTGGCCCCTTGGATACGTGGTCAGGTTTGACTTTGTCAACAACTTCAATTGAGTTTGGAGCAAAGCAAAGACAAAATAGAGCTGATCGCTGCTGCCGTTTCTCAGAAAGTACGGTCAGTAGCAGGTGTAGCAGTCACCAGTCTGTCACGAAGGCCAATTGTTGATTGCTCGTATGGATGTCGCAGGAATTCAGAAATTCCGAATGTATTGTCAGGGTGAAAGTTGAATTTGCAAGAAATACTGAAACAAGAAGGACCTTTTTTGAATTCGAAAGTTGTTCACTGGCTGTCCTTTTTTGTTGTTGAGACGATTTGATATTCACGAAAGCCCGTTGATATCCTTTGATTAGATCATGTGAGATGAATACCGGTACCAAGTGCCTGAGAAATCCTCTGGCATCATTTTGGCTTCGCCATTGCCAGGATGGCCATGGTTGTCATTGTTGGGAACAGTATAGCTTCAAATTCAAATGATCGCCGCAACTTCACAGTACCGTGTTGTTCATTCACAATTAATTTCTCAAAGTTCTGTACCGTATCATGATGAGCAGATTGCACCTTGATGTGGGTAGCAGGTCGCTTTTTGAGGAAAGCCATGGAAAGGCTACGTTTTTTTTGCACTAAAGCCACCTGTAGCCCAGGTCGCATCCATAGATGAGGTGCCGGGTGGTTGACTCTGATGTTTTGCATGTTTTTGCAATCTTCTAAGAGGGTATGAAGCTGGATGTACTAGACTTTGTTATTTCAGACTATCCTTCGATTTTCTTAGGGTCCTCTTCTAGTTTACACGGACGGCTTCACCGGCCTTAACGTTTTAGCACAGGTTCTGTCAATACACACCACAAGAGCTGCAAACAGACACCTTCATTTGCGGATAGCTATGCTAGCAGCCACAGAACATAATTCCTTCCAACCACCAGCTCACCCCTGTTGGAAGAAGGAGATCTATGCCATGACAAACATTAGGTGCCGATTACAGGAATGATTTAGAATGCAAGAAAAAACAACACAGCTCCTCATTTGATCGTATACACTTTACATCACTTTGCAGCAGTGGTTTGCTCCTGCAGGATGCAGACAGCTTTGCGAGTTTCGAGAGCTGTGAAGGAGGCAGCCTACTGTGATGTTCAAAGTGTTTGGCGTGAGTGTCTTTGTCTCATTGCACAAATACGTGGTGGAACCAGCCCTCTAGCTGCATAATTTGACAAGGATTTGCCATGATAAACTGTTCAAAGAGATTGGGGACTCAGGTTTGTGCCTTTGGTAGGGTGTGTTGACCAACAGATTGAGAACACTCCTCCGCCCCCAGCAGTCAATTCTGCGGTTTCAGGATTGGTTTTCCGCTCTCCACAAAAGGCCAGTTTTAGCCTTCGAGGTGGATTCCTTTTTGACATGATTTGACCAAATTTGTTGGTCGATCATTGGCCATTGTGTGAGAAACACGTGGAAGCATCAAACAACCACACATGTAGAACATTTCATATCCGAACATTTTCCTGTAGCTTGTGGTATTGGTATCTTGCAGGGCCCCGCCCAGCAACACTTGATTTGTCATCCTTGCAATCCTTTCTAGCTGGGAAGAAGAAATCAACATGGTCCTTTTGCAGTATAGATCCCGAAATGCTTGACAAAGGACACAATATAATTTTAAAACACACATGATAATGATAATATATGTATATACATATTATATACGTTTGTGATTCCACGCTGTCACATGCATGGTCTTAGAGAAGCCTGGTTGTGAATGACTGTTATGTCACGCACCTTTTGGCTTAAACCTTTAGGGCCCTTGAGCTTTTCGTGGCGACGAACGAAAGGATCCAGCCGAGATTCAAACTGGTAGCGGAGCAGGTTCCGGAGGGTGATCCCCGGGATTTGACTCTCACGGTAACTCGCAGATCCAGGACGGTGAGATTGTGTGTGTGAGACAGCTTAGTGCTGATCAAAGATCCCGAGACAGCTTTGCTGATCAGAAGAAGGACTGGCCAATGTCCCTTGCAGGATTGAGGTATCAGTCCACGACCTTTGGCACGGCACCTCAAGAGACCAAATCTGGGTCGTACATCTACTCAGGTAGCCCTAGTGGATTCCATGAGTGGGAGTTCAGGACCAAGATTCGTGTGGAGTTCCTCAAGCAGAAGATCAAGAAGAAGGTTTTGGAGCACAGGACCAAATCTACGTCGACTTCACCTGAACGAGGACGGGCCGAGAGGAGCCCCGTCGTAGGACGAGGAGAGGAAGATGAAGCCCAGGCGACTGATCCGCCTGGAGCGTGAGGGCAGAGTGACCCAGGAAGCCCAGAAGATGGACGAACTGGACGTGATGGACAGGGAGATGGTGAGCAGGAGGAGGAGCGTTCTGACTATGCTTCACCTCGTGCCGCGCCTAGCTTCCCAGGCTCAGTCGAGGATGAACAGCTGTTAGGAGAGATCGATTCCCTGAGGGCTGAGTTGGTGCAAAAGGTGTTGGAAGGCCTGAGGGGTGATGCCTATCTATCTCACAGCTCAGGACCTTGGAGTTGAAACTTTGATGAAGGATGGTGGAATTGAGACGCTGATCACGACTTTGAAGAAGATGAATTTTCCCTTGCAATCCTTGGAAGCCAAGGAGCTTTTCCGAGTTGGACAGATGCAACAAGGCCCCTTGTCGCGCCAGACAGGGGAGTCAGTGACTTCCTTCATTTCAAGACGTCGCAGATGGTGGCGCCAGGTGAAGGAGCTCGACTCCAACATGCTGATTTCCGATCAGATGCGTGCCGAGCTTCTCATCGAGAGCGCTGGTTTGACCAAGCAGGAGCAGCTCATGATCAGGACTGCTGCCAAGAACCATACTTTTGATGACTATGCAGCCATCTTGCTTGAGCACCATGGGAGAATCCATTTGATGAAGGATTCCAGACCCCTTGCGCCGCAGTACAAGTCCAGTACCAACTACCCCCAGAAGAAAGGACAGTCCAAAGGGTCGCAAAAGCCCCGGTATGGAAACAACCGCACAGCTCATTGGTCAGAAGCCAATGAGGAGACCTGGCATGATCCAGAGGAGTATCACGGAGAAGATGAGCACGAAGAAACCTACGATGAACAAGGGTATTTTGCCCACAACGATGAATCAGAACAGCCCACTGAGTGGGACTACGTCGAACATGATGACACCGCAGCTGCCTTGGTCACCATGGCCGAGTGTGACCATGATGAGACACCAGCTGAAGGGCTGGATGATCTTGCAGAAGTTGCCCAACAGCTCTATGTAGGTTACATGGCCGCTGGCACCCACAAGGGGAAGACCAAGGGTTTCAAAGGCAGGGATAAAGGCAAAGGCAAAGGAAAGCACATTTTCCGAACACAGCTCAGTGTACAGGATCGAGTCAAGCGTTTGGCAGAGCCGAAAGCTCGTTCCAAATGCCTCCGATGCGGAAGTACAGGACACTGGGCAGGTGACCCCATTTGCAAATTCCCCAGCCAGGGGAAGAAACCGCCTGTCAAGCCCCAGGCATCCAAGCCTGGTGTAGGATATATGGCAATCAGTGATGAGGAGTCATCTGCAGGTGAGTATGGTGTTTTGCATGTGCGTTCACGACAGGACCAGGAGAAGGAACACTCTGCTTTCATGGCTTACAGGACCCCAGCTTCCAGACGTTCTGCAAAGGCACCGCCTTCAGCAGGTGGATCAGCTGACTCAGGTGATTTCAGCATGGTCAGTGACACCCGCAAGGACAGAGCACGTCGGACCCGTGTCCCAGCCTCTGCACAGGGAAGTGAAAGCTTGCCTGATGGATCAGACAACAAGTTCACGTTTGGCCAACATGTTGGGTTGTCTTACCATGAGGTTTTGCATAAGTACCCTGGTTATTACCTGTGGGGAAAATAGCAGAAGTCACCTAGCAAGGGTTTGGCAGACTTTTTTGGATTGGGCCACTGACAACTATGAGATTGACGGTGAATCCCATGAAGTCATTCCACGTATGTTGCCCTTGGAAGTAGCATCGTCTGTTGCACGGTCTAGTCATGAGAAGCGCACTGGATCTGGGAGACAGATGCCCCCAAATCCCCCACTTGCCAAGTGTGACAAATGCACCCGTTTCACAGGTCTGCGGAGCAATGCCTACATTCAGGTCAAGACGTGCCTGGACTGTGGGCACCAGACTAGGACAAAGCGGGTGCAAGTTTTCACTGAACGGCCTGAGACATGCAGACATCAGGGCTTGGACAAACGTGGAAGTAGCAAGTTTACTGCACGGCTCTTTTGTAAGCAATGTGGCACGTTTGTAGATGAGATGCCCCAAGCAGAAGCTAGGAGGAGACGTCAGTTGGAACAGGATATTGCCGCACTTGCCTCAAGTGCCATTGACACCACTGAAAGGGTGATCACAGCTGAAAAGGATGATGTTTGTTTGGACCAAGAGGGAGCATACCACATGATGACCATTTTCCAACAAGATCTTGACTTAGAGCTGCAGTCAGGAGAACCTGTGCGTGCCGCCTTTGTTTATGAGATCCTTGCAAATGCCATTGAGGCTGTCCGAGAGGCAGACCCCGAGCACTGCTTCATGGCAGTGGCATTGTCACCCATGGATGACCAGATTGTTGGACCTGCTTTGCGTGTGGTTGACATTTGGAATGATGAAGGTGTTTGGGCAGTGTTGGATGAAGGTTGCAACTTAACTGTTTGCGGTTCAGAATGGATGGAACGTGCTGTTGAGGCATATGCTGCCGTAGGGTATGATGTTGGGAAGGTTTCTGATGAGACCAAGCCTTTCAAGGGTTTGTCAGGAGTCACCAAAACCCATGGCAGTTACCGCATCCCTTTTGCTCTCACTTTTGTCAACAACAATCAGAAGTTGCCTGGTATCATGGAAACTCATGTCATTGATGGCAAGATACCATTGCTGTTGTCACAACATGCACAGGCAGCAATGAGTTTGGTCAAAATGATGGATGGAAGCAAATGCACGGTAGGTCTAGGAGGACCAGAGGTTGAACTTTGCCGAGTGAAAGAATCAGGATTACTTTGCATCAACTTGTCAAGTGCATTGACGAGGTTGAAAGACAGGAAACTACCCCCAAGCTTGAAGGAGTTGAGACTTTCCTCGAGCGCGCCAACTGCTTTCCCAGCCATGCTCGAGTCTGGCAGCACAATCCCGGTGCTGATCTCTTGTGGCAAAGAGTTTGACCGCACAATTGCGGATTTTGTGGAGTCCAACGCCTACAACAGAGGCAGAACGGTTGCAGCTTCATTTGGCCTTTCTACAAGGACCACCTGGCTTGTGAACGTACTGAAGTTTGGGGATCCTCACCATGACCCCTCACTTCGAGGCCATGTGTGTTGCCACCACGAGATCTTGAAAGGTTTCTTTGAAAGCCAAGCCGCTATGGTCGAGATGCTGCGCATTTTGGTGGAGACAAAGGACAATGTCGGCATGGTGGTTTACTGCAACAAGAACCGGCACCGCTCTGTTGGAGTGAGTTGGATGCTTGCTTCGGCATATGGTGTGACCACAGGCGATGAGATCAGTGTGACTCATGCAAATGCAGCCGTGTCGTGGTCTCCGATGTCTGGGAGTTGCAAAGGTGAATGCATGGAATGCCGCCATGAGTCTGCTGAAGTTCGAGAAGCAGCCAACGTTTGTGTCCAAGCGCTGGTGGAGTCATACTTGAATGCGGAGCCAGATGAGGCTACACTGGCCAGAGTGCGCACAAGGAGATGTTCGAAGTGAGGCCAGTGCCTACGACGAGCAAGGTCACCCAACGACCTGGCTCATACGGAGCACCAGTGATGAAGAGAGCCAAGGCTGAAGACAAGCAGACCTCAAAGGCTGCATCACCAAGTGCCAGGATGATGCCGATCAAGGCACCGACCCCCACAAGGACGGTGACCACAAGGACTGCGCCAGCCGAGTTCAAGCAGCCGCCACCGCAGCCTCCTCCTCCGCCGCCGCGTGAGGAGAGGAAAGAGCCGATTGCGATCCGGTCTAGGACACCAACTCGCCGTGCAGCACCTCGCTCAGCACGAGACCGAGAGGCCGCAGCTCACGCCTATCCTTGGCCAGGCTATGCTTCGTCGAGGGCTTCGAGCACCAGGCAGTCACCGGGAGGAAGAGACACCCCCGGCGAATGAGTTACTTGAAACTATGAAGGCGATGCAGAAGCAGTTGGACGAGCTGAAGAAGGAGAAGGGAGAGACGTCACACCGACGTCGGCGACGTTCGCGTAGCCATTCGCGCGGGCGCCGTCGACGATCAAGGACCAGAAGCGATTCACGTGACTCAAGGAGGAGGACATCAAGGAGGCCAAGAACACCCTCACCTCCGCGTGCTGAGCTTCGTGGACGTCCACCTCTTCCAAGGCCACCTTCGGTTCCACCGCCTGACAGAAGCCGCTCGGAGAGCGAGCGCCACTGGCCAAAGCAGTCCGGATACAGCGGATACAACGCGTATGTTGCAAACCGCTGGCCTGCTCACTGGAAGTTCCCAGTGCTGCGACAGGGCCCCGAGTCTTGGAATCGAAGGGTTCAAGTTGGAAAGACACCTGTGGAGTTGCTGGACGAGCTGTACTTCGCCGAGAACAAGGGATGGGGCTTCAAGTCGCGATGCTTGAGGTGGATTGGCCCCTATTTCCCTGCTTGGAGGGCCGGGTGCAGTTATAAGTACATAGCAAGGTTAGAGCACCTTTATAACCTACTTACTAAGTGCGGAAACCTACCTTGTAAGTGGTGCTAAGTTACCTTATATATAAGTGGTGCTAAGCGGTCTGCTGTCTCTAGTTAGTAGTTATACAGTTTTCGGCTAACTATATGTTATATATATGTTCCATAAATGATTACGCAACTTATGGCACTTGGCTAACCACTTAGCGTATGTGGGCTAAGTGAGCTAGGCAGCTTACGCCCTAAGTGGCCTAAGTCCTGTAAAGGACTTACGCTACTTACGTATCTAGGCTAAGTGCACTTACAAAAATTTGCGGCAACACAAAATCCCGTTTCATATTTGGCGGAAACACAAAATTCTGAATGGGGTTTTGGTGGAAACACAAAATTCCGTTGCAAGTTTTCGTGGAAGCACAAAAATCCAAATCGCGTGTTGCGGAAACACAAAAGCGCTCGCAGACTTCGGTAAGTGCTGTAAGCCACTTATGTAAGTGCGCTAAGTGCTGTCCGAGTAAGTCCACTAAGTGACATACTGTGAGCGCTGTATCCAAATAGTAAGTGCCGTATGTACCTAGTATGTCCCCTATGTGCTTAGAGCTGCCCCCGAGCCTCCAAGTGTGTATGACCCGGCATCTAGGGAGCGCACAGCCTTGGAACAGGCCAACCATGAGTCCAACGTCAAGGTTGTCGTTTTGGGAGAAGATCCTGCGCCTTGTCAGTTCACCACTGATCTGATGAAGGATGAAATGCCATGGACGGTCACTACGTTTGACTACGTGGCAGGGCAATGGACCCTGACTGGTGTGCGTGAACCTTGCACAGAGCCACCAGCTTGGAACCAGGAGGCCCAGTCGAGGATCATGATCTTTGCACTCGGTGATGCACTCACCGAGGAAGTTGATGACGATGATCTTGCAGCCGATGCTGGCGATGGAGATGGCCAACAGCCAGATGACCCGAAGGATGATGAACCTTGTCGCCAGAGGAGCACGAGGAGGAGATCCATGACCCTCCAGAAGCAGGGAACGCAACAGAGTACCCTGGTCAGGAAGGTTCAGCAATGCTTGGTGTTGAGTTGCCAGCTGCTGGGAATGAACCCCCAGTTCAAGAGAGCCCCAAAAGACAGATTTCCGATGAAAGTGTTGTAGGTCCCTTCCAATTGCCCAATGATGTAGGTGACCACCCAGCATGTGTTTCAGATGCGTCTCAGGACTTCGACAAGCAGCTGACTGTGCAGCCACCTGGACAGGAGATCGTCCTATCACCAACTTCAGAGGTTGAAGACAACGATGTGGTGGAGCGTTGTGGCCCACCTGTGGTGGAAGCAATGTACGGTGTTGACTGCGGAGTCTCTTGCTGCACTATATATGAACAAGGGTGAAAAACGGGCGTTTGCTGCAGGGTTGTCCATCATGAATGAACAAGACAGGATTTTGACAGCGCTGGTGAGCCAGACCCCACTGAACTCACGCCACATGATTGTTTTGAAGGATTGTCATTCGCCCTGGAAAACCCATGATGGAGTAGAGACCCTGGACATCCAGGAGGATTGGTCGAAGACACGCAAGAAGCTGATTGAGACAGTTCCCAAAAGCCACCTGGGTTGTTGCATACGTTTCCAAAACTGATCATTTGGATTTGTTGGGAGATCTTTGGATTGAATCAGACCTGAACAACTGTGGAGCTGTTGTGTTTTGCCCACACCATGTATTCCACGATTTCCACGACATTTGCATGTCCACCCGTGGTGATTTGACCGTCTACCTGGCAGGCCCTACTGCAGCAGACCTTCAAGAGGAGATTCTGACCTGGGATCAATCAGAGGTTACCCGCCATGCTTGAGCTGCTTTGCAAGACATCGGAAGAAAGGTATTTGAGCAGTTTTGCACGTACCTGTTTTGTTGGAGAGGCAATTGAAGATGATGAGGAGGATTTGGACCCCTCATCTGATGACATGCAAGTGCAACCCATGGATGATTCAGTTGACTTGGAAAAGCTGACACCAGCTGAACAAGAGTCCCTAGCGCTTGACCTGCTTAATTTGCCAGGAACCATCGACGAGCAGAAGCGCAGAGCACTGTGGAGAAGGCTCCGACAGCGCACGCGCATTGCCATCAGGCGCTTGCACCGTCAGTTTGGACACCCAACGCCTCAGACCCCGAGAGCGATTTTGAAGGCAGGCAAGGCACCTGCTGAGTTGATTGAAAGTGCACGCCTGGTCAGATGCACGGTTTGTGAAGATACCAAACCACGCCCCAGAGAGCATCCGGTAGGACCCAAGTTCCAATTTGAGTTCAGTGCTTGCGTAGGGATGGACGTTGCTGAGGCCAGTTCTGATGGTGGCAACAAGTACTTCGTACTCAGCTTTGTGGGCATTGCCACTGGGTTCCACTTGGCTGAAGTTGTCAAAGTTGGAGGTGGAATGCCAACATCAGAGCGTTGCGCCGATGCCATGGTTAGCCGTTGGGTTAGCTGGGCCGGCTGGCCAAAACAAGTCACCTGCGACAGGGGTATGCATAACCGTGGCGAGGTACAGAGGCTTTTAGCTTCCCACGGTTGTGAGGTTATCTTTGTGCCGTTGGAGACACCCTCAGCCATAGGAAAGGTAGAAAGGGCACAAGGTGTGATGAAAGCAATCCTCAGACGAGTGGTAGCTGACGCTGAGAGAGAGACTTCAGTATCTGTTTGCACGAAACCCTGACCACCAAAAACCGCATGAGCCGTGTCAACGGATACAGTCCGTCCCAATGGGTATTGAGTAAAAACCCAAGGTGCCCAGGCAGTGTGACTGACCTGGAGGAGGCAGGAAACCTTGGAGTGTTGGAAGACTCACTTGACCCGTCAGCCCGCTTTCACCTGAACCATGCAGCCCGCATGGCAGCCCAAAAAGCATTCGTGCACCTGGACACGTCTTCACGCATCCAAAGAGCACTGCTGCGAAATGCAGCTGTACAGGACAAAACCTTCAATGTTGGAGATCTTGTGGTGTACCACCGTGACAACCAAGTCGGTGGGACGATTTGGTCTACCGCTTCGCGCATCATAGGCAAAGATCCACACCGAGGTCTTTGGCTTCTGCATGAAGGTGTTCCCGTTTTGGTTGCTGAAAACAAGGTGAGATCAGCAGATGAATCCGAGACCCTGGCATACTCACTGCTGAACAACATCCCAGTTTTGCCTGAAGTGATCGTGTCTGGCCCCCAACAACAGAGATACCTGAAGGTTGCCGACGAAGCGCCATCGAGCTCAGCAGCAGGAAGTGTTCGAGGGCAGAAACGTGAGACAGAAGACATCTTGGAACCCTCAGTGTTTGAAATGAAAGATAAGATGGGCAAGGCTGCCCGGTCTGCACCCAAGACGCCCGGAGCGTTGGAGGGAGATGTCATGATGGCAGATGTGGAAACGAAGGATCACTGGAGAATCAGTGACACTTGTGCGATCCGAGTTCATGTTGAGCCAAGGTTCAAGGACTACAACCCCCTTCATGAGGGAGGAGTACCAGAGGGGTATCTTGCTGGTTCCGCATGCAAGGTGCGGAAGATCTTCACAGATGGCTCTGTGAAGGACTGCGAGGTTGTTCTAGGTAATGGTAGTCTAGTTGAATCTCAGGCATGGACCCTTTCCGCGCCATGGCTTTGCTCGAAGCTGACGCTGGAGAGGACTTCGCTAAGTTTTCTGCGTTTGCTGCCCATCGTGTGGGTTCCGATGCCGCTGCTGCAACACAAGAGGGAAAGGTCGCGAAGACCTTGAACATCAACGACGTGGATGAAGAAACCCGTAATTAAGGGTATGCTGGAAGCACGACAGAAGGAATGGGACAAGCACCGTTCTTTCAATGCCGCCGTGGTTGTATCCGGCGTTGAGAAAGTACGACTGCTTTCGGAAGGACACCAAGTGATTCCCAGTAAATGGGTTGATACAATCAAGAACATCCATGAGATCAACAGCCCGAACTTCAAGCCGATCTACAAGGCACGACTTGTCAGTTGTGGAAACTTCGAGAGTGTCAATGTGTCAACAAGGAGGAGATTCGCTGCGACAGCCCGACGTCGGAGCCATTGTCACATCTGGTGCTGTGTACCTGGGGCGCCCTAAGTGCCAGAAAAAAAAGTGATATTCAACAAAACCTACTTTTTGAAGATCCGGGATGGGAAAGGCTTGAAAATTTGAAATATCGCAATTTTTGGTCATTTCAGGTGTTCTCAGGTTCTTCACACGCTTTGGCCGCCCTTTCCATTACATAATATGAAAAGGCAATCTTGGCTGAAGATATGAAAAAGGCAATCCCAAAAAAATGGGTGATATGCCTGAGCTAAACTCTCACAACAGTTGAAAACAGGTTTGCAACATATTTCTTGTAGAAACAAAAAACGAAACACAAATATCGCGGAAATTTGCGGGAATATCGCGGAAATTTGCGGGAATATCGCGGAAATTTGCGGACATATGTTTCAACCATTTTAAAACTAATATTTCCGGCATGTGTGGCCATGGCCCAAAAATTTCAAGATCCCGCCTCTCTATCTTTTATTTCCGCAGAACCAATTCTCCGAATCCATGGCGCCCAGACTTAAAAGAGAACGAGGCTGTGGGTGCCGCAATTTGGCAAAATCATTTATCGCATTTTGTTTGGTTTTATCGCAATTTTTGTTTTCCATCGCGTTTTTTCAAACCAAGATGGTCCATCGCGTTTTTTTCCTGCACTCGGGTTTCGCAGGTAGCTATGCTGCTGCGCGCAAGCTTCGACTTCGAACGGCGGATATCACGAACGCCTATACTTTCAGGGGGCTCCAATGACGAGGTTACTGCTGATGGCCTCGCCTCGCGGAGGATTGACAATTCGATGCCGAGATCCCTGCGGATGCGGCGCTGATGTGCCGAGTCCCGGTCTATGGAACGAAAGATGCTGGACGAGGTTTTTATCTGCGGATGAACGCCGAGATCCTAGCACGAGGATTTGTGGCTTCTCAGATTTGCCCCGCGACATACTATCTCTTCGGCAAGGCCCAACATCTTGCCGCTATGATGTGTACGCATGTGGATGACCTCATCTTCGCCTACACAGGCGAAGGCAAGGAAGCCGTAGATGCAATCCTCAGCCGCTTTTCGGTTGGGAAGATCAAAGAAGGTTCGTTCCGCTACTGCGGACGCCGTTTCTCACAGGATGAAGATTTTGCACGATCCATGTGGATGTCCGAGACAACACTCGGAACTTGAAACCAGCCGCAATTGATTTCTCTCCGAAGTGTAGTAGGAGGACTGGCCTGGATCAGCCGCTATGGTCGGCCAGATCTTTCTTACCGCGTGAATGAACTTCAGCGTTGTTTCCATTCCAAAAGCACAGTTCAGAGCCTGAAGGACGCCGACAGGGTTGTAGAGCTTGCTTTGCAGGGAAGTGACTTCAAGATCACTTTCAAGACTGATTGGATCGATTGGAAGGATCTTGCGGTCGTTGCCTTTTCCGACGCCAGCTTTGCAAATGAAGCTGAGTTCAAGAGCCAACAGGGACGCATCCACTACATCACGTCCCGCAGTGATGTGAAGTTGGGTGAGCACAAATTTCACCTGATTGGGTTTGGATCGTCGACCCTGAAGAGAGTTTGTCGAGCTACTCTGCAGGCTGAGGCATATGCTCTGCAGGGATCAATTGAATCTGGAGACAAACTTCGAGCCTTGCTTTGTGAGTTGACTGGCCATTTGAAAACAGTCAAGGAGTGGTATGAACAGAGCCAACGCGCAATGCTGCATCTGTACTTTACAGATTGCAGCTCCCTGAGCGATCACTTGTCTTGTGAAGTTGCACGTAAGGTGCAGGACAAGCGCTTGGGTATTGAGCTCTCTGCACTGCGACAAGCTTTGTGGATCAATGCTGAGAAGACATCCGAGAAGTACCACCCAGCAGGGGATGATATCGAATGGATCGACACTGGCAGGCAGTTGGCAGGCTGCCTGACCAAGAGCATGAAACCTGACTTTTTGATCAGGGTGCTTGCTGCGGGGTACATCAACGTGAAAAAGCCGAACTGAGAGACCTGAACCAATGTACAGAGATAGGAATAGTAATGGATGTAGTACTGAAGTACCAGAATGCGAAAGTCTGGTAAGCCATTTTGGCAATTCCAATAGGAATAGAGTTGCATGCCTTGTTTTTGTATATAGCACTGCGCATTCACACCAGTAGATAAGACGGGTGTGATTCCACGCTGTCACATGCATGGTCTTAGAGAAGCCTGGTTGTGAATGACTGTTATGTCACGCACCTTTTGGCTTAAACCTTTAGGGCCCTTGAGCTTTTCGTGGTGACGAACAAAAGGATCCAGCCGAGATTCAAACGTTTTTCTTCATTCTGCTTGTGAAATTCTGTGAGCATGCCGCTATGTAATTCCTTGCTGCAGGAACTCTAGTCGGCAACAGATTCTGTGACCTGGAAAAAAACAGTCACAGCATGCTGCCGACATTTGCTGAGTGCAGTGACCTGTGTGAACTCCGTTCTTGCGTGATGTGTATTTGTACCAAACAGGCCGACTTTTAATAAGGCAAATTTATGTTCCTGTGGAAATATCATGGATTGGCCGTCATACGACGGTTCAAAGCAAAGATGAACTTATGCCATCAAGGCCACGCACCATGAGGGGCTACACACCATTTTTGTGGTGGCTTGAGTGGCTTCAATCTATGTTCAAACTTCTTTTATTGTGTAGTTCCAAACTCTCATCCCACGCAGACCCTGGTAGTCTCTCGAAGATTTCGGAAGATGCACGACGTGAGGAGAAGGCAGGCCCGGTTGGCCTGGTTGGCCCGGTTGGCCCGGGGGACGTGCAGGGGCAGGGGCTGGTGTGTGATACAACTCGGCCGTGAAGCTCAAGAGTCAAGTTTTTTTGCTGGCTCGACAAGGAAATCTGCTGGTACAACAAACATTTCCCTTCGATAGCATTTGCCTTTCGCAGAGTCATGGATTCCTTCCATGGAATTCCCTGACTAGGTCACCTTTGCTGCCTGACAATAGTGAACAAATCTGAACAACGCTGGACACGTTGATTTCGTTGAAACTTGGGAAAGTTGCCGGATGTTTCCGTTTGAAGATGCTTGAAGGGTGACTGCCAGGCACGGCTCAAGCTGTTGGTGAGGAACTTTACCAGTACAGCCATCAGAGGCTCCAGTTCTGCTCCTGAAGTCTCTACTTTCTGAGGCCTCTTTGTTTATATAAAGTGAATAGATTTAAAATTGAGTTATTTTTTGAAGTGTTGAGACTTCGCTCATGCAAACTGAGATGAGTTTTGAATCCAAAAGAATACCGGCACATGCTGGCATTTGTATATTGAAGGCTTGCTCTGCACGCAAAATTTCAACTCACTCCAGTGCAACTGATTGATGACACCTGCCAGTACTCATAGATTGTGGAAGTTCTCAGACGTTGCCCACAGCCTGACCTACGGTTTTTTCCTTTCAAGATCAGCAGACCTTATTGCCCCTCCGAGTAGCAAGAACACTTTGCACCAAGGAAGTCATAGGGACAATTGAATGCCGTTTCTCAATCGTGTCTAGAAAATGTTGCGAGGGATCTAATATGATTCAATCAACTGTGCATTGTGGACCAACTGTGCATCGATGCGCCGGTGCACAGGCGTCTCATGTGGCTGCGTGGATTTGGTGTTTGGCAGCCAAGTGGAACTTGGGTTGTGTATTTTTTGTTCGCCATTGCTCTCACGAGCCCTCGTAAGACTAAGAAATCACACAAGTTGCTATAAATGACAAAGTCCTGTGAAGATTGCCTTGCCTTTTCAATTTTTAAACAGCTCTTTTATGCTGTGAATGATAAGCGTCCTTTGAGGGTGCCTTGCCATCATGAGATACTCGTAGGTTGGATTTGACTTACTTCTGGATAGTTTCTTTCCAAGAATGGAGTATGATTGATGCATTTAAGCACCCAAGGTTCAATGTGTTCATGAGTTTTGAACTGACATACTAGTACCTCATGGTGCTTCCAGGACTGGCAAGGTGTATGACGCAACGTGCGCCTTTCCAGACACGGATAGGCTGACAGATGAACCTTGCAAGCTTTATGATTCAATCTTTCAGACCTGTATGTGTTTTGATCCATCACAATCTTGGACCTATTGGAAAGACATGGAAAGACCGTTTCTTCTCTGCTACAAGGTGTGGATGATTGTCGTCCGAATGACACATGTTCACTTTCAGAATGCACGCGCTCAGCTTTTTTGATTTTGATTTGCATTTGGAACCAAAGTGCAGCTGCGAGTGCTGCTACCCTACTGGAGTCCAGAGAATAAGCACCGGTCCAGTAATATCTCGCTGTTAAGAGCAATTGGTGCAGTTTTTCACGATCAATGTGTTTTTTCCCAGGCGGGGATCTCTAGATTTTAAATGATTTTAATAAGCCTTCCCACCGGACATAGGGGACACACACGACACGGACACCGACACACAGCCTCTACACCATGGCGAGTTCGCCAGCTCTTTTTATTTCCCTTTCAGAATTGCGACACCATGCGACACCTAGGTGCTGTAAACATTTTTTTTTTTTTATGGACCCCTTCCATTGCTGCCTTTGTTTTGGTGGGCTCCAATTTTAATTGGAACCTGGGGCAATTTTTATCTTTTTTTAGGGCGCCTGAATTTGGTGGCCCGGGGCTCCGATTTTGTTTGGGGCTCCGATTCTGTAGGGATATGTCGGTTTTGTTCTAGTTGCTAATCCCTTCCCCCTAAACGTCCCCCCCCTCCCTTAATAATAAACACCTCAGGTAGTTTTTATTATAAGGGGGGTAGTTATTATTAGGGAACCCTATTAATAAATTCAAAACCTTGATAATAAAAACTATTTTTTCCGATTTCAAAATCAATTAAATTTCCTTAATTTAACGCAATTTAAATATTGCCAAAAATTTGTTTTCGAAGCGGGCCCTAATAATTAATAAATGAAAAGCTCTGATATAAAGAACTAAAAATGTGCGGACGGACCCTAATAATAAACACCCCTGGGTTGACTAGTTTTTATTATTAGGGGGCGAAACACACAAATGCTAGCTTTATTTTTAAATTGTGTTCTAAAGGAGAGCAATTAAAAGTCAAATTGGCCAATCTGACATTTTCCGAAATTAGTGATAGACCCTAGGTTTTAGTATTTGGCGACGTTTAGTAATAGGGGGAAAGGATTAATTTTGTAGTGTATCAAGGCTTCAAATGGCTACAAAATTGGAACCCCCCTAAGATTCATGTTTCAACAGTTTGTAGGGTGCTATAAAATTGGGACCCTGGCGTGCAGCACATTGCAGGTAGCTTCAAAATTGGAACCCTTTGGTGACCAAGTTTTTTCATAAAACCATGCCATGTTGCTACACCAGAGCCCTCAAGCATGCGCCATGCGAATGCTGGAGAAGAGAAAAATGAAAAAACACAAAAAACATCAAACAACTAATAAAACAATATAATATATATATATTATATTTAATGGAAAATCATATCATGAAGAAATATGAAGAATATTTATACCTCCAAAAACACCCGATTGGATCTAACTCGGATTTATTTGTTTATAATATGAAATGGTATAACATAATTTAATAAAGTATCATGTGGTTTAACAAAATTCAATGTAATGTAAATTAATGAAAATTAACTTATAATAACATAATTATTTAATACACTATAAAAAATAAAGGATAATAACACCCCCTTAGAATGAAATGAAAGGTTTGGAACAACCTTTTACTTGCCACATATATGAACCTCATGTCACACCACGGCTGTGAAGGAGAGCGCCCCCCTATAGAATTGGAACCCGAGATTCGAAGGCAATTTTTGGGTCTACAAAATGGCAGCCCCCAAGGTGCACGAAACTATCCCAAAATTCTTCCCAGGAGATTCTCTTCCCTAGGCACCCAGCTTACCCAAGGGATTGAATAGGTTTGACTTTGGTGCCTTCGATTGATGGCCCCAAAACTGGAGTCGACAGAATTGGTGCCTTACTTAAACTGATACAAAATCGGAGACCACAGAATCGAAGGAAAATAGAGGGGCCCCAAAAAACCGACTTAGGACACCAAATCTTATTGAAAAAAGGCCACCATGATAAAATCATTTTGGTTGGCTCCAATTTTATAGAGGTCGATTTGGAGCTAGTGCAGTTTTTCATACGACCTGGGTGTCCCAATTTTGTAGTGTTGCTGGCCTTGAATATATTGACGGGTTACTAGCAGGTTTTGATTTTTTAGGGTTGATTATGTATGTGTTTGCCAGGGCTTAATTTATAGATGGCCACTGAAGGGCGTTTCCAAGGATACACTGGATCCCCTTTAAAATTGGAACACCCAGGTCAATGGGGTGAATTGGCAAGGGGATCAAAATGCCAGATTACTACAGAATGTGAGATAGAATGTCAAAATAAGTTAAAATATATGTCAGATACTGTCAGATAAAATGATATAAAAGGTCAGAATACATGTCAGATAAAATTGCATAAAAAATGTCAGATAGAATGTCGGAATACATGCCACATAGAATGCCAGGTAGAATGTCAGATGGAACGTCAGAGTATATCTCAGCATATATGCCACGGTGGGGATCACTCGAAGCACGTAATTAGGCACATGATGCCTGGTCGAACCTGACACGGAAAAGCATGCCAGATGCCCCAAAAATATATTAAAAAAACAACATGTGAAAGATCCACAAGTCGTTCCAGGACATCGGGGATACAGATAGAGAGCCGAATCGCTTCATGAATCAATATCAAGAAACACGATTTTGGAATATGGCGCGCCCGGGGGTCTTTGCCTTTCCGAGTGCTCCAGTCTTGCAGGAGAAGAAACCAAACACCTGTAAGACAGTGACATGATGGAAAGTGTGTGCATGTGTGTGCATACCACGAAGACTGATCCATACATATCCACACTCTGTTTTTTGCAAAGCCTTGTGGATAGATGGGACAGCGCAAAAAGGGGTCATGTGGGTTTTCTTGACATGAATTAGACCCGATACTGGCAGAACTTGAAACGCTGCAAATCTTT